AACCAAGGACATTCTGCGATCCCTGCCAACTGCAGCGAGTATCGCAGACATGATTAAACATGTCACAAAAGAAGAGCATTTTGCCCCAATTCAAGAGGCTGTTCACGCAGCAATAGCTAATGCAATGGTGTGTTTTAAATGTGGCCAGCCAGAACATGTGGCAGTAAACTGCCCCCAGCTCGGGAGTCCAGCAATCAAACCAAAAAGGCCGTGTCTTGCATGTGGGAAAAAAGGGCACTTTGCTAAAGATTGTAGATCTAAAAATCAGGGAAACGTGAAGGGGAGGGGGCAATGCAACTGCCCTGGCAGCACCCAGCCCCCTCCCACTTGGAACATGGGGCGGCCACATATGGATACAAGGCATAAAACACCTCTAAACCTGACACTTTCCCTACTAATGAAAACTGTGAGCTTTTACTTGCAGGATTGGATCATCAGACGCCCTCGGAACCAGTACAGCCCAGTACCAGAGGAGAACGACACGCCGACCAACACCCTGTCCCACCCTGCGGGCTCGGCGCAGACGGAAGCCGGACAGCATCGAGCACTTAAGTCACTGTCCGAGGTGGTTCTGCAAAATTGCAGAGGACTAGACATTCTGTTCTTACAAGCAGGCGGGCTGTGTGCTGCTCTTAAAGAGGAGTGCTGCGTTTTCGCAGTCCACACAGGGTTAGTGAAAGACACCATGGCCAAGCTGCGTGAGAGATTAGAAAGTCGAAAAAGGGATAGGGAATCACAGGATTGGTTCACATCACTGTTTGATCAAGCACCATGGCTCATCACTTTGCTATCCTCTCTTATCACTGCCATAACAATACTCCTTTTAGCACTGGTTTTCAGACCCTGCATTTTTAACAAACTCGTATCCTTTGTTGAGAACCGCCTTAAATCCATCAACATCATGGTGGTCAAACAGTGGCAAATGCTGTAGATAATGCCTTAAACCGAAGTAGTTCCACATAGTTTGCACTAGCTCACAATTCTATATCTCAGTGTTAAGACACTTCTTT